CAAGCATGATAAATTATGTACGTTTAGTAAACAAAAAATCAAATTTTGTTTCCTCCAAACACGATTGATTTTACAGTAATTGATTATTAAAAACATTACGCTTTAAACAATTCCATTTTAATGGTAAGCGTTATGCTAAAAATCTTGTTTGTGTTTACATGTACCTTATTTGGATTTGATCCAACAGGAATAAACAACATAGGACCCAGCATTGCCGTTCCAGTCACAGTTGCTCGTAATCTTGTTATAAACTAATAAACAGAAAAGGCATTATTACATCTCTGTCGAAAGAACCACAGACGATAGCATTTTCTGCTGCCTATCTCCAAGTCATTATTCATATGTGAACATATTTGAAAGATTTGTAATTTATTAATATCTTAGTTATGAAGGTATTTTTCATAAAAAATCACTTAATATTTAGAAAAACAAGGAGAGAAAACTCTATGATTTTAGCGCAATTCTTAATATATTTTATCAAAATTATACATCTATTTTTTATGGTTTGACAATCAGAAAGATCGATGTATCATTTATCCATTTCATTCAAATGTAATAATTTAGTGATATACTTTTTCTTTTTGCTTCGATGAACATATACATATGGAGCATATACTAGGTATACTGTAGATGTCCGTAGGAAACAGTAGCCATACAGTGGCATATGGTAGGTGTAGCGGGGCCTACTGTAGGTAGCTGTGGCCTGCTGGGGATGCATACAGTGGCATACAAAGATTTACTGTATATACAGAGCTGGCATACTATAACATACTGTAGATACACCGTTTAAAACTGTGAAAATGCTGTATGATCCAGAGAAAGACAGGGGTTTTAAAAGCCAATAGTGTAAGGTTTAAGAGATTTAAAAGACCATATCTTAAATTAATAGATTTAAAAGACCATATCTTTATTTCCTCATCACAATTATACAGCGTAAGATAGAATTGGCGAACCACGTTTGAGAATTTGCAGGGACTATATTTTGTCGGAATAGTGGCGTAAGAAAGTATATTCTTTTCTACCTCTCAAAATTATTAAAGAAAAGTGAATTAAGTTATAATTTTTTCACGGTCAAAGACTTGAGGATTTTTTTCAAATGTAAGTTTAATTGATAATAATGAATTTAAGTTAAATATATCAAATAAATATGATTGTTCAAACAAACTAGAACTATGTCAGCTTTTATAAGCTTCCAATCTGGGTACAGATTTGAGCCAAAAATACGTAAAAAGTATTTTTAAATCATCTCTCTTAGTACACAATTTTTGGTGTTGTTTTTTTTTTTCTTATCTTCATGTGACAACTTTACCATATGTGAAAATATGAAAATTCAAATATAGGAAGCATATAAAAATAACTAATGTATCCTAAAAACTTAAGAAAATTAGAGAAAATTCGGATTAGCCAATATCCATTTAAGTTAAAATATATATGTCAATTTGGTAATATAATCTTATAGACCCTTTATGGAAGTATCTTTCAATGCAAAAGAAAAATGTTTAATCTTCTGCAATACAAGTAAGAATCGCATGATTGGCAACAGTATTTTTTTTATTATTCATGTCCAGGAAAAAAGTAATGACCTTGACCTGAACTTGTCTCTAATATAAAACGGTCAATTTTAATTTCACTGATACTAGTGATATTGCCTTCGTAATTCTGTGAAAATTTCATCAATTTTAAATACAAGGAAAATGATAAGAATCCTACCATAAGGAATCACTGTCTGTTTAGCAGAGTATGCCAGTTATGCCCCTTATGCATAAATTATCCCATATTTTAAACTATTCTTGATGTTCCTGGCATACTCTATTAACTAGACTGTGATTTCTTACATTTTCATTTCATTATGAAAAAAATGTAAATTTAGACATTATAAATTAACACACACTAATAAATTAAATTATAAGAGGCCTCCCATGCCAATTTCAATACTCCCCGTCCACTGATAATAAACGCAGACAACCGTACGACACATCCATGCATATGTATAAGACCTCCTTAGCGTCATACACAAAGATATACACACAGGATTTACATGCATATTAGGCCTCCCTACACATGTACTAAATTTTAAAGAGTTACCACAGAGAAAACAAATATAGATTTGGAAATATAAAGCAATCAACGACATTTTTAAAGAAGATACTTACAGTACTAAATGGATTTTCAGAGACAGCTGGGGATTCGGGTTTGTCAATGTCTATGGGGTCTGTCGGTCGGCAATCTGTAATCACGATCAGTCTTGAAGTCGGAATAATACCCGTAATAAGGTTGCCTACAATATAAAATCCTAGAATAAACGCACTGTAAAGACATACATGTACTGTGCAATCACAAAATTTCGAGGGGGTTTAATTTTCGCTGTTTTCGAGGTATAGAGAGCTCGAGACCAACGAATCCATGACCACCACAAAATGTTTGATATACATTACTACTCAACACTTCTTCAACCAAAAATTAAATCCCTACAAATCAATAATTTTTTCTCAAATCGAGAAAATTTACCCCCAAGAAAATATGTGATTTTATAGTGGTGCTTCAAAATATATGTATATTTTCAAAGTTATACCTCCCAATTGATTGTATTTTTGTAGAATTTAAAGAAATTGACCGCATTTGTATTATAATTTTATTAGCTTATGCATTGTTTGCGGGAATTTAGTTTTAATAATAATAAGAAGAAGAATGTCGTGTAATTAAATTGATAACACGACAATTTCTCCACATTAATCAAATTGCAGTGTAATGCAAGAAAGATTGGAAAATTAAAAGAAAAAGGTGATCGATCAATCAATCGTTAGATAGGATAGATATATTTCTTATCTAACTTCTATTGAGAAAACATGATGTGGCCAGAAGGATTCCGGCTTCCATAGGAGAACTTCCCCTGCATTCAACTCTATCTGAAAAAGAAGAAAAGTAGATCTGTTGTTATCGCTATTGTTATTGGTATCCAATGACAGTTCTTACCACAAAGAATAACTATGTGAAGAATGGAAGCCCCAGCCCTATACCTCAAAAGATATGGCCAAGTTTAAACATTTTAAAATGTAGGTCAAACTCCAAGGTGAAAGGGTTCAAATTCTTGAAAGCAAATGAAAGGTCTTGTCATAAGAATAAAATATGAAAAGTATGAGAGAAGTACATGTAGCCCTAACCCTTCAAAACTTATGGTCAAGAATTGTTTTTTTTAAATTAAGTCAAACTCCAAGATCAAGGTAAAAGGGTAAAAGTTCTTGGTATTCTATAAAGGGTCTTTTCACAAGAATTACGAGGGTTGTTCGAAAAGTTCGTGGACGATGTCAGTCTTCGTTATATTACTTACAAGAAATAGAAATAAATTTACTTCATTTTAAAATCAATATGTTTTGTACCCGCGGAGCACACTTGACGGGAATGTAGCGTCAATATATAGCGTCAAGAATTTCTAAAAAATACATTTCACACAGTATAATCTAATACCCATTCATTAAACCCTTTTTTCTAATACTAAACATTTATTTTTTAAGAACTACTCTTCCTTTGTTAAGGTTTTAATTTCTTTTTTTACTTACCGCTAGTTTCACATGATACGCAACTCTGAAGCGCCTATGTCTTTTCTTGACGTTCCAACTTTATGAGTTTTTGTTAAGATATTTACAGTTAAACCGTAGCTTCACAGATTGCACTCATACTCATCCGATACAGAGTCTCTGTCGCTCAGTTATTGCCTGTAATATTTGTACATACATGCACAACTCAGTTGTGACATATTTTTTATTCTTCTGATATTTTTAGAGTTTATTCAGGGTTTTTCCTGAGTAAAACACAGAATTGCACCATTATCTGCTGCTCCGTGCCGTTCTTAAACGTCATAAATTTTGTTGTTTTCATTAAGGTTTAACTATCTTCTCAAGTTGCTTTCTTTTCAACAAAGAAAAAGAGAAAAAACATTATTTGGTATACGAATCAATGTAACAATTCTTAACTGAATTTCTAGGTTGTTTTTCGTTTTTGCTCCATTTTACAGAGAAGACGACTACAGACATTATATAGTGTAGTGTCTGTAACTTACTAAATTTGGACCTGCTCTGCAATCCGATTTCTGCATTTTTAAAATCTGGATAAGTTTTGAATAAATCGGAATATTTTGGAAAACTATTTTGGAAAAATTTAATACAAATCATTTTGATTTATTGTAAAAATATTTCTACAAAATTTGGATAGCATACGACGTCAAATTAAAAAGATATGACAGTTGTTCACGAACTTTTCGAATGACCCCTCGTACATATGTGAAGTATGACAGCACTAACCCTCAGCGTTCAAAAGTTATGGCCAAGGTTAAAGTTTTTTCATATGACTGTACAAAAATCTCCAAGGTCAAGGTCAAAATGTTACGGTAATTGGTATCAAATGAAAGGTCTTGTTACAAAGAATACATATGTGAAGGATGGAAGCCCTAGCTCTAACACATCAAAAGTTATGGCCAAGGTTAAAAATTTTGAAATGTAGGACAAACTACAAGCTCAAAGGATCAAAGTTCTTGATATCAAATGAAATGTCTAGAAACGAGGATTAAATATGTTAAGTATGAAAGCACTAGCCCTAATCCTTTGAAAGTTATTGTCAATGTTTGCTTTTTAAAATTAGGCAAATTCCAAGGTCAATGTCAAAGTTCTTGTCATTCAATCAAGGGTCTTATCACAAGGATTACATATGTGAAAAATGAAAGCACTATCCCTTAGTACCGTTCAAAAGTTATGGTCGAGGTAAAAGTTTTTTTTATAAGTACAGAAATCCCCAAGGTCAATAGGTCAAATGTGTTGGCACTAATGAAAGGTCTTTCCACTAAGAATACATATATGAAGCATAAAAGTCCTTATATCTACTGTTTGAAAGATACGGGCAAAGTAAAAGTTTGAAATTTGTGTGTAAAAGAGGGTAAAACTTCAAGGTCAAGGTCAAAAGGTCAAATTTGGTGATACCCAAAGAAAGGTCTTCTCACAAGGAATACGCATATGAAATATGAATGTCACAGATCCACTAAATCAAAAGTCATGGGCAAGGTTCAAGTTTTTGCGGACAGACAAACAGCTAGACAGACAGAGAGGCAGCTAGATAGACGGACAGACACGACAAAATCTACATACCTCCGAAACTTTGTTTACGGAGGTATAAAAATTACCGATACACTTCCTTATTGATGCATAGTTGTTTGATAGATAGTGGAGAAACTTGACTTCTTGACCAAAACACAGAACTGCCACGTTTTCATCTTCCTCCCTGTGATCAGCGATTTCTGTAGAAAAAGGGGGAAAATCACCGATTATTGACATTGTAGTGCAGTAAAAATATACTGCAATATGATTTTTAAAAGTATTAACCGTTTAAAATGTCCAAGAAACTTCTTTTCATTTGCCTATACCCCTCTCCGGCCATGCTCTCTGATGTATCGAGTAGAAAGACAGTACGCATTCCCTTTCCTTGAAGGTGTTGTCTTTTAAAAACTTAAAAATCAAATTTGAAATCAAGAGAACATTTAGATTCTCGTTCGTGAAACCGTATTTTGGGAACATTTTGTTAAAGATATATATTTTAATGAAATTTTTAAATGATAATCTTATTAAAAAAAATGCCTCAAAACAGTGTCAGTTCAAAACGATGACATACTTTCTAATGCTTCGTCGCTGTCTCGCTGATCCAGTATTGCATTTCTTCCATTCCATGTTGCATTTTCTAATATTTCTGAAATAAGGAAAAACTTAACTTTAACTAGCTATAGGACAAATATATGTACAGTTGTATGTACCCCCAAGAAATGAATACTCACTTATAATTAATCAAATTCCAACGGAGATATGGAAAACAGAAATTCTTCCTTGTGATTTAAAAACATTTATTAGTCCTCTCTCATTGTATACAGTCACGCAAAAATAAAATCTTCCTAGATTGTTGCTATATTTGTAACTATTCAAAGGATGTTTTGTACAGAATTTACAAAATGCCGTTATTTATATTAGATTTTTTTAGTTTTCTTTAGTCTTTATCAATTAAAATTACTTTTCAGGCGCATCCAGCGCATTATTTATTGATGTAAATTAATTTTCAGCATTGACAATTTTCTTAATTTTTTTAAGCATGGTAGGTTCTACAGCCTTGTATTTTTATAAGCGATAATTTACAATAGCTCAGTCGGTAGAGTGTTCGCTTTGAGATCGGGAGATCGTGAGTTTGAAATTCGGTCGCGACTGACCTATCGATAAAAATGAGAAGCCACTGTTCTTTCGCCCTCAAGCGCTCTGTATTTCGACGTGAAAGTTGCGGTTCCTTCGGATGAGACATTAAATCCGACACCCCGAGTCAAAACAAGTGTTCATTGGCACGATGACGTTCCCTTGCTGCTCAATAACCTTGATACATGAGTACCAATATTAGTGAAAAAAATCACGAAAGGGACGTAAAACATATGAATAATATAAAAATGCTAATACCGGTACTGGAAATGAAAATTCCAACTTTAAATTCTGAATTTAATCTCAATAGAGAATTATTTAATTTTCCGCTTTTTGTCATGATAATACACATATCGACATTAGTGGATCTATTAATCTGTACTTTAATGGTCTGCACTTTAATGGTCTGCAAAATAAATCTCCTTAATACTATATATTTCAATTACATATACATGCTTGTATATGTCCCTGAATTTGATGGTAAATTTACATGTACATCCGTCCTGGTTATAAAAACTTCATATATTACGATAATATATTTATATTAATCTTATTTTTTAAATCATAAAAGATGTTCTTGTCATTAAAATGATTTTTATT